GAACACATCAGTGGACAACTAAAAAAACGCACAAAAATATATGTACACACAATAGTCTTTATCAAAAATATAAACTTTTCAAAAAAACCTTTATATCAACTGTGTATTTTTCAGACAGTACGATGTAGCAAGATTTTTGACTATTTTTTCTGTTTATAATATATTTTTATCATCTTTTGGTATTTAACATATTGTGAGTAATCTTGAAGAGTGTTTATAAAAAGAATTTAAAAATGAACAATTAATCATTAAAACAGTTTTTAGTGTCAAATATATTATTGTTTTAATAACAATTTCCCTCCATTACATAAAAACCACGTGTTTTTTATATTGTTGTCTGACTTTTTGTCTAATATATGGACTGTTTAACCAATTGTTTGTTAATGACTTTTGACAAGTTGATGTATACAATTACATATTTTTAATAATCTATTGAAAAGAGTGTTTAAAATGAATAAGGTAAACCATAACTATATTATTAATTTTTTAAACAACAAATAACCAAACTTCTTTGTCTATCGATGCTATTTTATTGATTTATTTAATGTATATTTTTAATTTTTGTTGTGTTTTACATTATGCGTAATTTATCTTTTTATTGTCAATTAAGAAGTATATATTATTATTCTTTATATTTGGGTTGCTGAATAATCAATTGTGGATGCATCACTGTCTGTAAAAGCGATGTATAATGAATTCATTTTATCGTTATTATATTTTACAACTATTTCGACTCATCATTTTCACTATGACACAGAAACATGTTACTCAATGGAAATAACAACCACTTTTATCAATTTGCGTCATTCTCTGAACATAACCAATTTTATTTTTTTATTACGATTATTATTATTATTTATTTGTTTTGTCAAACAAGAAATGGCAATTTTCACGTTTGTTATGTGTGCTTTTTATCATTTTCTTTAGATTTTATGAATACTTATTTGTTGTTATAAATAAATTATTTCAAAATGCTTCATTTAAGTTTTTTATTGTTGAATTGTGTTGTATTTATTAAATAATAAATCAAATGATTAATTTGATAACTTTTAAATTCGCTTTCTTTTGAACTTACTAGATCATCATTTCAATTATAAAAACAAACATCAAGTGGTCGCAATTGACTGTTTGTGGGGTAATACATCCACAACAACAAAACTATATTACGTATCCGAAAAGTCAATTTTATTAACGTAAATATCAAAAAATTCAACCATTGTTTGGTTTTTCAAATATTTTTAATTGTTTTTTTGTTTTTAATTAATGTTTTTAAAATAATATAAATTATTTTTTCAACTTGTAACAATAAATATTATATATTACTATAATTTGCTAAAGCCGACTTTTTCCACCAACTCTTTATTATTTTGGTTGTAATTTTTGTTTTGTTTTGCTTTCAATTTTTTATATAAAAAATAAATGCACAAAACAATTTTTTGGTATAAAAAATAAAAAATAATACCATTATGATAATTTTATATTATTTGTTTTTATCTATTTTTTCAGGAAAATCACCTAATAATATTTCAAAATTATTTAAACAGTTTTGGGACAAATTTTTAAAAAACTGTTAAAAAGAGCAATATTGGATTGTTGGCGAGTTAAATAAACAACTATAAAACTAGAAAAAAATAATAATTATAATAATTATATTTATATTTATATTTATATTTATATTTATATTTATATTTATATTTATATTTATATTTATATTAATGGAATTATATTATAATTAATAGTTTATTTTATTATAATATTTAATTGTTTATTTAAATAAATTTAATTATCATTAAACAATAAAAAACTATAATTATACCAAATAATTACTTATATTACCAAATATAATAAAACTGTTTTAATTGGGTTTCAATTTTAGAAATACTTTTTTGTTAATAGATTGGAACCAAGAACTAAAAGAATCACTTTTTCCCACAATGAGAGGAATCAAAGTTTCAGTTAAAAATGTCAATTGTCACTCTGATGAAGAATTCAGTCGAGCATTTTCCGAATTTCCAACAATTTCTTGTTACTTAAAAACGAAGCAAAGGCATTACAAGCGTGGCTTTTTCACCGTCCGTTTTGTAGATTTGATAACTAAACAACGCGCAGTGGAAGAGTTGAACGGAAAAGAATTCAATGGTTATACCGTGGAAGTCAAACCTTTTTTAAATAAAACGACTTGCGCTCTCTTTTTTGGACTGCCTGACAACACAACAAAAGATGTGTTTCAGACTTTTCTTAATGGTCTGGATTTTAGGGATATTAAACAACGAGCTGACATTGTAGAAGAAATTACTAACAAAGGAACTGTTGTTGTGAAAGACCTACAAACTGCAGAAACACTTGTTAACAGTTCGAAGTCGATTGGCAACGGGAATTGGAAATTATCGATCCCAATAAAAACGCCACAAAATATAAAAAGGAAAAATGACATCAAAAAAAGAAATCGGAAATTTGAGAAACAAAACCAGTCGGAAGGCGTTGGATTCGAAGAGATGATGAATGAAAACAAGACAGAAGAAATAACACCACAAATAAATACAAATGAGATTAAAGAAGAACACATTGGAACAACTATAAAACACGAAGAGGAGGAACAAGAAAATAGAGAGAAAAGAAGTTTCAAGGGAGCACCAGTTTTTTGTTTCTTTTGTGGAGGAGAAGGGCACACGTTCAGAGATTGTCCTTTCAAATCGCACCACAATGAGACAAAAGTACAAAAAGAAGAACAGCAAAAACAAGAGAAGAAAGAAAGCGAAGTTGTTGTATTGGAAAAACACAACGAAGAAATAGAGCTCATAATCAGTGAAATGGTCGGAAAAGCGAAAGAGAGTATTAAGGAACAAATCATTAAAGAAATCAAAGACGAAGTGAGAAAGGAATTAATGGAAGAAATTACTAAGAAGTGTCAAAATATGTAACTTTTACGTTAGTATATTGCTTGGTTTTAAACTATTTATTATAGTTTATACTATACTTATATAAAGTTGTTTTTTATTTATTTTAAAAAGAATTGAATAATTTAAAATAACTTTTTAATAGTAATATTCATAAAGTTGGTGGGAAAAATTTTTTCCGAAAAAATCTTGATTGATAATATTAAATATATTTTATTATTAACAACCATTAATTATTGGTTTTCATTTTTATTTTTTAATTTTTAATTATTGTTTTTGAAATGATACAAATTGTTTTTTAACATATAGTAATAAATGGTATATTTTACTATAATTTGCTTTCGAGTTGAACTGTTTTGCATATTTAATTATAGTTGTGTATTTGTTTTAATTAAAAAATGAAATATATAACAGTTCTAATATTCCTTTTGTACTTAATTCTTGTACAGGGGTTGTTATATATTTCTTTTTTTATTTGCATTGGTAATTATGGGATAGAAATAATAACAAATTCAAAACTAATTTATTATACTAATAACTTTATTGAAAAAAGTTGGTTCAAAAATTGTTAATATATTTCGACGAAAATTGACTGCATTTGTGTAATTAAATACATTAAGTATTTTATTTGTACTTCTTTTTTTAAAGTGAAAAGGAAAAATAACAGCTTATTTAAAAGAAAGAATATTTGTTCCAAAATGTGAAATGGGTTGGCATGTATTCCTAAAAGTGTTTTAAGTTTTTCATCATAATTTTGCTCTTCTTGTACTGGAATTCCATTGGGTTTTAAATGAAAAAAGTAACTAAATACTTTTATGATAATTTGTTTTTATTAGTTTTGCGTTTTTTGTGTGTTTCAAATGTATTTTTATTACAGTTAGCCGAATTAACCTTCTGCAACGAATCAGCCTTCTGCAGATTGTTTTTTAAAAATAACCATAATTAATAACAATTCAAACCATTTTTAATAGTATTTTTTCAACTTCAAATAAATATATTTTTATCCACAGGATTTTATTAATACACCTTCTGCAGTATATAATTGGTCTTATAAATATCAAAAATTAAAAAAATAAAACCAAACTAAAAACGAACAGTACTCAGTTAACAAGCAAATTACATAAACACTGAGCCAGACAACATTCTCGTGTTTTCAATTAATTTTAGTAACGAGGTGATAGCAAAATTGACGGACTTTAGAGATGTAAATGTATGATGACCAACATTGCATTTACTTAAAAGGTTGGTACACCAACATACATGGCGCCTAATGTGTTAAACATAGAGAAGAAATGCAGATATCTTTTCTTTTGGCGTTACGTTATTCGAATGTGTAATGTGGAAAGACCCATTCCAAAGGAACGGTTTATGTTTGGATGAATATCGTCAACTTTTTTGAAACTGAGAAAGTTGCCAAATTTAAACGACGGCACTTGATGTTGTAGATGATATGCGGTACCACAACCTTTATAAATGAATAAAAATTGTTTTTTACTTTAATTAGAAAATATTAACACTTTTTAATTATTTTGAATTATAATTATTATTATTTTTGTTACGACTCATTTACAAAAAATAAATTATAAATTTTATGTAAATTAATATCCGATCCAATTATAGCTGCAGAAGGTTAATTCTTTGCAGAAGTTTGTTTCGTCTAACTGTAAAGATAAAATATTACCAAAACTGCATTTTGAAAACAAAAAATTACATAAATTGAATGATATAACAACCCCTGTACAAGAATTAAGTACAAAAGGAATATTATCAAATTTATTGTATTGCATTTATAATTCAAATTATATGATAACACCGTTATATACCATTTATAAATATAGTTAATTTTTATTATTTGTTTCAATATAAACAAATCAACAACATTTGATTAAATCATTGCCAATTTAAACACTGCAAATTTGTCCAATTTAAAATTGTCACCACCACACAGTTTTCCATAGGGCATATTATCAATACTTGGTGCACAGCTTCCCCTCAGAATTCCCTTCTTTTGAACAAATATGGCATTTCCACATAAACTAAAGAGTTCATTGGGATCATCAATAGCTTCCAAATGAAGTGCATAATCAATGTTCTTGCCTCTTCCAAGATATCTCTCGGACTTCTCCCCGTCCAAGTTAAATACAAAGGCGTTTGGATCAACAACAGAAGAGTCTTTATATTGTTCAAAATTGATCATATTGTAAACAACACCTCCAAAAGTGCGTTTGTTCTCGCTACGAACAACAAAACACATAAATTGCTGTTTTGATATCTTTTTGCCAAAAGTTGATTTGTCTTGTGAGAAATTATCAACTTCGCTATCAAAAAGCACTTTTTGGAATTTAAGACCAGTCCATTCTTCCAATTTTTGTCGTTCGATTGGGGTGATGTATTGTGATAGAAAAGTCTCGAATTTTATTGTGTTTTTATCTTTTGAAACATCAGGTTTAGTCATTTTACTTAATTCACTCAGTTTCGATTTATATTTCTCTTCTTCAATACTTTTCATAAGATCAACAGTTTTGTTGAATTCGTATGTTTTGTTTTGGCACTGTGACAATTCAGAAGCAAAAACTGTGGAGAGTTCGGCAAGAGTAGAGTTGAGACTTTCTAACGATTTTTGTGTAGATTCAAAACATGTTGATATTTCTGTGGAGTTGTCAAGAAAAGATTTTATCATCTTATCTCGCTCTTCAATTGATTGTGTACTGTCTGTTGCAAGTGACATTGTGGTCTTGTATTTGTTGTAATCACCCAACTTGGTTTTTGCATCAGTACAAAGTGCAATAATCTTGTCCAGTACACTATCCATTTGTTTGTTGTTTAAAGTTTGACAAACCAATTTATAACAATCGGATGTTTCTGCAATAAAACTTATATTCAAAATAACTCAATTTTAAAACATTTCATGTTTTGAACACTTTTTATATTAATTAGTCCAATTGGAATTGTTATAAATCAAATTAAAATTTCTAAAACATGATATTTTCAAGTGTTTCATTCATAAACATGAAAATTGTTTTTGTGTGTTTTTGCTTTTAAAAGTTATATAAAATGACTCTTAAATTGTTTATCTTTAAAATATTATTTCACAAAAACATTAAACGACTTACTTAAAACATATTATATCCAAAGTTTAATGATAATTTTGATCAACTTTTTGCATTGTTCATTTTTATAACTTAATCATTTCAAGAATAAAATTTATCTTTATTTACAATATTCGTTTTATAACCAAAATTAAAGATATAACTCATTAGTACTTACTTTATTATTGCTTATCAATTTCTAATAACGTCGTTCTTTAATATTAAAAATTTTGATATTATACACTTAAATTTTACTTATTTTTTTTTAAATAATTTTATTTAGTTATTAAAATAATTTATTTGTTAAATTTTATTATTTGAAATTGGAAAAAAAGTTTATTTTGTTAAATTTAATAAATTTAATAACCTTTGGCAATTATATCTTCATAATTGCATGCCTTTGGAGTTGATATCTTACTTCTACATGACAATATTTAATATAAAAACACACTATTTTCAAGTATGATAAAATAAACTAAAAAGGTTAAAATATCGTTTATCAATTCAACTTGATAATGCATATTCCGTACGGTCTGATATTTTTGGGATCCATGTACCAATAATCCGAAGGTCCTCCATTTTTATCAGCATAATTAATTTCATCGGTTTTGACTCTGTTTTGGAACACTATTTTAAATTTGTTGCCCTCGTCGTCAATTTTATCTTTTGAATAACTTGCTGCAGTTTCAAAACAGGGACTACAATAAACTCCATCACCATAAGCATTTCTATCTCCAATTATAAACCCATTTTTACAGATTGAATTTGCGAAATTCGAGTCTGTTCCATGGTAACTCACTGCCCACTCACCTTTGGAATTTGACATCCCCAACCAAGTGTCATCTCCATTATCATACTTTCCCAATACATTGAGTGCATATCTCATGTACCCACATGGTCTTGAGTACTTCTTCCCACCTCTTGTATATGTTCTACCATCTTTTACATCATCAATACCTGTGAAATCATAGTCATAACTTGGTGACAACAAATTGTCATCGAATGCAAATTCTTTTAGGCCTCCGCGAAGTTTTCCAACCATGAACAAGGTACATTCTTCAGTGACATAATACTCTGAAATGTTTATTCCTTCATCCAAAATTCTTCCTCTAAAAACAAGATAATAAAGATCAGATGGTATGCCAGTTTTATCAAAAATAACTTGTTGGACTTTTTCAGTGGACCAATTCGACGAGATGTCTATCGAAAATATTTTATTTGAAGCCAACGAATTGTTAATATAAATTTTAAAAGTTGGTTCGTTTGGATGAATTTCAGGAACAATTCTTTCTCTGTTGTTATTTTCCACGAACACTTCTACGGCTTCTTCAATGTTGTTATTCACAAACAAATTCGTAAACATTTCCAGGTCGATTTTCTGCGCTTCGGGGTGTTGACTACACAACCCAACAATTTTTAAGCCAGTCAAAGCACTCAGGGCTTTGAACAACATTGTTTGTCTGTTAGCACTCATTTTTTGAATTTGGAGTCTTTAAAAGCTCATTAAATAGCTCCAGTGAAATCATTGACTTTAATTCTGCGTTTCAATATCAAACAAACATCATTATTCACAACACTTTAAGCCCAAAATATACTCATTTATTCACAAAAAATTGTATTGTTTTTCAAAAACAATTCAAAAACAAAAATCATTTAAATAACACTTCATAAATAAAAAATTTACTTTGGTTATATTAAAGTTTATTTTTTATTTAAAGATATTGGGTTTTAATATGAATTATGATAATATTATTATAATTAATAAAATAAATAAAGTGGTTTTTCTAAAAAAGGTTTTTTATTTTTTTATAACAGTGTGTTAAAAATAATAAAATAAAAAGGATTGACAACTAACTCTATTGAACAAAAACAATTATAAGTTCGTGTCGAAATGTGAATACAAAGGAAGAAACAAGTCAACCAGATTATTCAAAATATGAAAAATGTGTTTTTAATGAAGCAGACATGTCGGATAATACAGATCTGGACGCAGTCTTGGGTAAAATAAAAGAAGGACTCGAGGTTGAAGCATAACAAAGAACGTTTTACAGTCTAAGTTTAACCATGCTGTTAATATATTTAAACAACTACAGCAAAAGAGCCTCCGTTTTGATACGGCTTTTAGAACTCAACAAATTTCACAATTTGAAATTTCAAAAATTTGTGGAAATAATAACTTTGAGGATCTTGCCTCTAAAACAGCAAATTCAAAAATTTCAAGAAAATTTGGACGTATGATATCGGGCGTTCAAAAATTTGTCAATTTCAGTGTCAATCCCCATTTATTTATTTAAGCTAAGACTAATTTAATTTTATAGTTTTTTTTACTATTTTATTTAAATTTTTACAAAACATTATTTTTTGAATAATTTAGTTATTCTTGAACATCATTTCCCAAAAACGCATTTTGTTAATTATTTAATTGTTACTTTTATAATGAAAAAAATGGTTAACACATTTTTTACAAAAAAAACACAAAAAATTTTTACCAATAATAACTTTCTTTTTTTCTTCCAGCAAAAAAACTGTGGTTTGCACAGTATTTCATAGTTGTTTCTTTTGATGTGATAGACCACGGTATCACTTCTTTTACACCACCATAAGCTGCTATTTTCCCATTATCTCTCAGAACAAAAGTCCCCAATTTAGGAAAATCATTGAAAGTCTCAACACAAACTGGTTTGATCGACATTATAGTGACTATCGCTATATCTCTTTTCATTAATTCCACACGACTTAACTTTTTTTCTGGTGCATTTCTTCCTAGTATTCGTACTATATCAAGTACTATACAAGGCACCTGTGCAAAATGGATGTTCATAGTTGGAGCCCACCCCTTCTTTACTATTCTGTCGTCTACTATTTTGATTTGTGCGACAAACTGTTCACATCGAACAGCAGGAAAGTTGACATCAGAAAGAACTTCTCCTATTTTGTAGTCTCTGCACGTTGTATTTGCAACATTCACACCAACAAACTCTCTTGCTTTTCCTTCTGAAATAGGATTACCCATCATTTCAACGCTTTTTGTTTTAGTTGATAGTCCACTTGGAGACACTGTAAAAAGTTGGTTTGCATGTACAATTCCACTCTCGACAATTCCAACTAACACAGTTCCAACTCCACTAATTTTGTAGATATCTTCCACTGTCATTCTGAATGGCTGTGTGTCAAGTCGACTTCTTTCTGAGACTTTGAGTGTGTTAAGTAGGTCGGTGACGGTTCCAGTCTTATTTATAGCCCATGTCATGTTTTCTGAAGAAACAGTCAAGTTATCTCCTCTAAGTCCATCAATTGGAATAAATCTGACATTTTCACTTTTAATTCTAACGAGTTTTAAAAGGTCCAAAATTTTGTATTTCGTTTCTTCAAAACGAATTTCGGAGTATTTCACTTCACCCATTTTGGTGATAATAACTGCTACTAAATCAACTAAAAAGGCTTTTAATAGTATCAACTTTTCAATAATTGCTTCTTTTTGGTCGTCAAATTTTTGTGAGGCAGAAACGACAAGAAATGCTACGTCTCCTTTGTGAATACCACGAATTGTGTTTTTGGTGTACTTTATATTGCCTGGAGTGTCTATAAATGAAATATTCATTTTTTCAAATTCTTCCATAGTCGTGCGTCGTAATTGGTCGTAACTTAGTTTTTCCTTTAATAATATACTGTCTTTGGCAATGATTCCTTTTGTTAATTGGATGTTTGTTAACGCTTCCCATTTTTCTCCTTTGGTCTTTTCAAAGACCCAAGCATATTCACAATTCGGTCTTTGTATTTCAATACATTCTCTTTTGTATCGGTCTATCGTTCGTTGATCAATAATTTGAAGGCCAGCAAAAAGATGCCCAAGAAATGTACTCTTCCCAGTCTGAAAAGGACCAACAACTACAATATTGAGGTGTTCATTCAAAGTGGACATTTTGTTTGATTATTAATTTAAAACGAATTAAAATTGAATAAATTTTAAATTAAAAAACGTGTTTTTCATTAAATGTTTGAGTTTTAACTTTGAAATTGTATATTTAAATATTATTAAATATTTTATAACAATTGTTATTACTTAGAGCTGCTATAATTTGTATTTTAATAAATATTTATTTGTGTTTTTTGTTTTTTAGAAAAAAAAATAACTATCTTAAAAAGCAAATCTCTGATTATTTTTACTATACATTACTATATTATAGAATTTGTCTTGTGAAAATTTAAACTATTTTTAGAAATTGGGTTTTGATAAACTATTACAAGTTATAAAATATAGTTTAAATCATTAAATCATATATATAGTTTGTATAATAGTATTTTTGTTTTTTGAATAAACACAAATTTGAAACACTGTAATAATACACTGAAAGTACGTAAAAATCCGGGCCATTTTTGTTCTTTGATAGTTCATTTTAAATCAAACTCGAATCATTTTTTATTTTTGAATAAAAACACTTAAAAGAAAGAAAAAGAAACTATAATAACCCGATATTTTTTATTTTTCCCATGTTCTGAAAGTGAAAAATACAATAATTTAAATAAAAGAAAAGAAAAGAATATGGGTGCGAGTTTTTCTCCAGGTGTGGGTTTCTTGCCTTATTTTACAAAACATCGTAATTCAAAAGTTAAATGTATTAGAGTATTTTTATTAATAGTTATTATAAGTTGTTAAGTCAAATGTCAATTAATTGTTTTTATTTCAATGTTGGTAGCGAGTGTTTGGTTTTTAACAATAACCATGATATTGTTTTAAATATTATTATTAAACATTTTCATTACCAAAAAGTTTTTTTAAGAAGAATAATAATAATAAGTAAAAAACAAATTGTCCAAATCATTTTTTTTCAAATTATTTAAAAAGCCCTTTCTAACCCAAATCGGCCATTAGTCAGTTTTATTTTACTTAAAATAATTAACAAATTAAAACTTAATTTCCTAAGATTGATCAAAAATAATCTTTTGGATGAAATTTTATAAGAAATGTTTTTATTATTACAATTTAATAATAATAAAACATAACATAATTCAGTTCATTCACATTAAGTTGAGAAGTAACTTAAATACCTTATAGTTAGTTAACTATATACCCCTTTAATTAACCCACCATAAAATAGCTAACTGAACCATAGATGACTAACTTAACTATATTTTAGTTAACCCAATTATAATAAATATATAGATTTATTATGGTTTTCTATTTAAATAATTGTTAAATATAAAATTTAATAATACATTTTTATTGATAAAAAACCTTTTAATATAGCAATTCAATTTGAAAAACAAATCGACAAAAATATAAATAATGTAATAATCATCAATTTTAACAAGAATAAAAAACAAAAAAAAACAAAAAACAAATAAACATTTATGTAAATCACACCTCACAAATTAATGAAAATGGTCAACAACACAAATCAATCTCTTCTTTAAGTTTTCATTTAAGACCATTACTACCCCGCCAAACTGTAAATGTTACACATCGTGCACCAAGTATACAACAAACTCCAAACAATCGCAACACACAACTTACTACAACCAATCAACACACAAACAATACAAACAGTGTTCAAATGGTGACACAACCACTTTTAACAACAAGTAATCAAAACGTTAATCAAAATACAACACTTTCAAATTTAAGTAATATTCAGAATTATCCACAAATATCACAAATTACAAATAATCAACAAACAAGTACTTTGGAAAACCAGACAACAACACAAAATTTATTTTACAATCAAATGAATCGAATATTGATCAAGAACCAACACAACAAATTACTAATAATGACAACAGTTTAATACATACATCTTCAACACAACGCCGAAGGTCTGTTTCAAATATCCAAAGTGTATCTACCAGAAGAAGAGAACCTCAAAGAACAAGACCACTTACACTTACACAGAGAAAAACACAAAACGCTACTATCAATCAAGCTCGTCATGAACCAATGTAGATGGCAACTTTGGTTATACCACGTAGTCAAGAATCGACTGATGATTTTTTATCTCGTATTTCTGACACTACCATCGATCGGTCTTTTATTACTGTGCCAATTCTTGCTATTATTACACCTGAGAAACCATCATTATGCTCAATTAATATTCATATCAATTTAGACTGCAAAAATTTTACAGGTTTTTCAATTGCTGAATTTGAAGAAATTTACGAATTAATCTCTTGTGACATTGCTATTTTTGTTGTTAATTGTGATGTTATACCAAGCTCGTATAATGTTATCGGTAATTTTTTTTTGAAGTTCCAAAAATACATATTTTTGTTTTTATTATAAACAATACCACCTTAACTCAAAAGACATGTTACTTCTTCTTTTCACAAAAATGAAAAGTAACTTTGGTTCTTTGGAACTTTTCAATTGTCTAAAAATAGATTTAATTTCACACAGTCATCATTCACTTGATTCTATTGAAGAAAAAAGTAGAAGAAAAGCAAACATTTCCAGTTGGCCTGCTTGTGCACTTTTATTATTTGCCAAAACTTCTTACAAAATTTTTATTGATTCAATAAAAAATTGTGCTGGTACAACTATCAACTTCGCGTTTAAGAAATAATATGGTTATACTACTTACATCCCCGAATTACATAATATTTATTATGCAGTTGATGGAAGAGATCAGCCTGTAAATCATCCTCAGAATGAAATAAGTTTGAGAACTCATTCGGTCGACAAAAGATTTTTTTCTACAAGAGTAATAACTCTGGTTTGAAAACGGAGTTAGTTGTTAACTATTTTGGAATGGCGGTCGGTGTGATTACACGGATATAATGCGCGATGAATGACGCAAGTATATTCGAATTTTAGTTTATGGAAACATGTGTTAAAGCTGGGCAATTACTTTTGGCAGATGGAGGATATTCTTCGTGGGACTGTTGAGTCATTCCACAAAGAGAAAATCCCAACATACAATACACAACAGAACAAAAAAAGTATTTGGATGAATATAACAATGTTCACTCTTCTTGTAGAATAATAGTTGAAAATGTATTTGGAAGACTGGTGAGCACTTTTAAGATGATAAAGTGCCAATGGACAATGAATCTTTCTTATTATGAATATTACACTATCTTTGCTCATGTCATTCTTAATTATAAAATATCCAAACATCCACTTCGCAACATTCATTTTTACTTGTTTCATAGAGCACTTGTTACTTCACCAGAAAATATGGAGCTTTTCACAATTCCTCTTCCTCCCACAATTAGAGCCAGAATACACGACTTTCTTGAAGGCAATGACGTTGCCGCAATAGCAGATGGCGATGAAGAGTTTGAAAAAAGACATCCCAATTAAATACATTTTTATTTGGTTAGACCACAGGAAAACAAAAACTTAATAATAGAAATTGTTGTGAATAAATAATACAATTAAAAATGCTATATTAATTATTTATTCAAATTAAAATTCAATTATAGTTTTTTTTAATTTGATTTTTTAATAAGTTTTGTAGTTATATATAAAGTTATTTTTATTAATATAATGAACCTTTGATTATAGTAATAAAAAATAATTATATAATTCTAAAATATAGTTACGTTAGTCATCGATAGTTCAGTTAGCTATTTTATGGTGGGTTAATTAAAGGGGTATATAGTTAACTAACTATAAGGTATTTAAGTAACTTCTCAAGTGTGACTAAAAAAATACAATTCAAATTTGAGTTGATAAAAAAATAAACAAAAAATCACTAAAATTCGTTTTGTGAATAAAAGCAAAAAAGGGTTTAGATAAAAAAACTCATTATTATTACGTTTTTGTTTTGAATGTGTTAAATTTAAAAAAAATGTTTTGTCTGTTATTAAAATAAATAATATGTTATAGTTGTTTTTTAATTATGGTATCTTAAATTATATATTATTGTTAATTGATATTATTTGTTTTATTGACTTTGTATAAATTATGTTTACTATAGTTTGAATTAACACAAATATTGTTTTTTAAGCAATTTACTTGTGACCAAAAAACAAAAATTGGTAAAAACACAATTAAAAACCTTTTTGTATTTTGTTTAGACTTTAACAACACATTTTTGAAAAAAAAA